AAGTGAACATGCTTTGAAATTCAACTTCGACGCAACGAACAACATGGCCGAGTATGAAGCCCTGCTACTTGGTCTGCAGCTAGCATTGGAGTTAAAACTCAGTGCGATCCAGGTATACAGTGACTCCCAGCTGGTGGTGAACCAAATTAACTCAATCTGCGAAGTTGTTGATCCTGTGATGGTGAAATATGTGGCTCTGATAGCCGAGCTGAAGTGCAAATTCCAGAAATTCTGTCTGAGCAAAATCCCCCGAACTGAGAATGAACAGGCAGATTCACTCTCTAAATTCGCCTCTGATAGTTCTTCACATTCCAGATCAGTTTTTGTGGAGGTCTTAGATGAACCAAGTTTCGTGAAGCCACGGGTGATGGAGATCAGTACCGACCCAGGCACACTGAGCTGGACTGACCCAATCCTCTCCTTCTTGCGAGATGGGATAGTACCTGAGGACAGGCAGGAGGCAATGAGGTTGAGGAGGAAAGCATCCCGGTATACACTTGTTGATGGGGTTCTCTACAAGCGATCTTTTTCTCTACCTCTTCTACGGTGCTTGAATCCCTATGAAGCAGAGTATGCACTCAGGGAGGTGCATGAAGGTGTCTGCGGAAGTCACGTGGGTGCTCGAACCTTGGCTCATAAAGTCCTTAGACAGGGTTATTATTGGCCCAACATGTACAAGGATGCCACTCACTTTGTTCAGAGATGCTTGAAATGCCAGTTCTTTGCGCACCTGACTCACCAGCCTGCAGAAGAGCTCACTACTCTGGTAGCACCATGGCCATTTGCTCAGTGGGGATTGGATCTTTTGGGCCCATTCGTAAAAGGGGTTGGTGGTGTAACCCACCTGATCGTAGGTGTAGATTACTTCACAAAGTGGGTTGAAGCTCGGCCGTTGTCCAGTCTCACTTCCAAGAAAGTTGAAGACTTTGTTTTCAGCTCAATCATCTGCAGATATGGGATCCCAAATCAGATTGTAGTTGATAATGGAACTCAGTTTAACTGCACCTCTTTTCGAGATTTTTGTTCCAGCTATGGGATTAAACTGCAGTTCACCTCGGTCTACCATCCGGAGTCCAACGGCATGGTCGAATCCGTTAACAAGTGCATCCTAGAAGGTATAAAGCCGAGGCTGGAACAACACAAG